ACCATCTTTCCATTAAAATATGAAGCATGACATATATGAAATTGAGGGGTACTTTGACCTGTGACAGAAACTGGAGATATTTAGAAGGAAACCTACCTAAAGGAACAACATTAGAAAGCCAAAATGTGTACTTTTGAGCAAAACAAGAGAGAAACATAATATCCACATTGGAAAATATTATGTTTAAACCAACCTAAAAGAAAAAGAAAAATCGAATTTTATTTATTGTAATAAGATAAGAAGCATTATTTTTACAACACTAATTACATTTAATTCAGGAATTCAGTTGCTGATCACCTGAGTATTAAAAAAGGGTGATCCTTGCTTCCCTCTAAACTGGTTTGTTGTTTTGTAAACTTGGCAGTTTGCCTTTGTCTGACTCACTGTTTTCCTATGCAGGCTTTTGTCCGGATATGCACGCAAAGTTTTTCTTGAGAATTGTTTTCATCAAGGCTACGGGTAATGCTATCAAAGCCAGTTGAATTGAACGTCATCCTTTAATGAGTTTTGGCTATTTCTAACAGGTGCAGACAAAAAAGAAGTAGTATTGCAGCACACAGTAAAAGTTGCACCAATTAACCTTCCATATGATACCAAAGTGTTATAAAATAAGACTGGCAGCATTGTTTTCTCTGGAGTTATTCATTACTGATAAAAAAGAGACAAGTTTTATACGAAGTATGTTATACATTTATATTTAGATACATTAAATCATATTTCCCAAATATAATTTAATGTAGCCAACAGCTTTAAATAACATGGTTATTATTATCAAATGCATCTGTTCTGTAAATGCATTTTGAGATTTCTTAGAGAATGTTAGTGAACAAACTCCAACATTAACTACAAGATAAAAAAGCAACAGTTCAGAGACAAGTCAGAACATCTTGGTGAGCTTATTGCAATTCATATCCAAAAAACAATAATGTTTCGACTGTATCAATACAATGCAGCATGGGCGCTTCTAGACAGGGGCCCACAGGGGCCAGTGCCTCTGTTGATTTGGTCCTGGCCACTTTTATGGCCCCCTGTACTGAAGACAGTTCAACCTGGAGAGATTCACACATAGAAAAGCTTGAATTAGAAATGTTTTATTCAGTTCAATTCAGTTTATCTATACAGTGCTAATCCACAACACATCCCACACAGAAGAACCAAGATCAGTGTGATAGGCCCTCTGCCGAGGCCAACTGAGTTTTAAAGAGATAGAAGCAGATATTGACATGAATGAAAATAAGGTAATTGGTGCTTCGGCCCCGGCAGAAGACTTTGATGCTAAGGATCAACATTCGCTGATCAACTAACCTACGAAAAGGATTGGAGTCCTACCTCCAGGGTCTGAAACTGGTGGAGGAATAAGCCAGAGGGAGAAAGAGGAGATGGAGGAAATAAAGCAAAGGTGGGTGAATGTTTGCTGGCATGCGGGAGGGAAGCTAGATCAAGAGCTAAATGAAGATTATTTAGAAAAATCATCGGCTACTAAGGAGGAGCGGTCCCAATGTCGATTGGCAGAGCTGAATGAGGGACATTACATGTGAAGCTGATAAGGGTCTACCAATTTTATTTTTTGTATTATTTTCATAATAAATTATACATTTATGACAAATTAATTATAATATGAGCTGGAAAAGAACCTCCAACTGATTGGTATTGTTAACCAATTGTTTTATTTTATATATTATTTAAAAATTAAGCATCACTGTTGGACATTTTCTAGATGGATGGACCCAAGGCCATAACTACCATTGAGGTCATGTACTCTATTTTTTTATCTATTTATATTTACCTAAATCTTGATATATAAACCGAAAATATTTTACAGAGAAACTGACTTTAGGACAATGATCTAGATCTCCCACGAATGTGAAGTCTTTTATATTTGTAGACTTAAGATTAGCGTGACTATCTCATGTAGCTAAGATTAGTGTGACTATCTACAAATGTAGGCGGAGGGCAGTTTAAGTTGTGGATGACAGTAAGAAAAACTGTATTTTCATGAGGAAGTATTTCAGCCCAGCGAGCTACAAAACAGCAAAGGGACTTCGAACCAAAGTTGATTTAACTCCAGTGTTTATTCAATTTACACCAGTTGAATGAACAATCATTATGCAGCTGATATGTTAGCGACGTCTTCGGCTGAAAATGAAGCATTTATTCAGCGTTGGTTTCTCAGTGTTGGATACTGAACCTTTTCTATAATTCTGCTGGATGCCAGAGCTCAATGCAGCAAGACGGCACAGAGCAGATTGCGCAAGAAAGGAGGCAAATCTTGCTTTTGCTCCTAAAGACTCTGAAAATGGTCGGATTTAAATAATGAAATTTAAAATATTTTCTGGGGAGCACGCCGCTGAGCCCACCTACAAGTGGCTGACTTTTGATCTCAGTATTTTTTGGGACCTGCGTAAGGCCCTTGATGGACCACAAATAGTAGCTGTTGTTTATTTTGATTTGTTTTTTGTCTAATATTTCACAATATTTTTCATAACTGGTGTCCTCTGGAGTTTTGAAGGTCCAGGCACTCATAAATTTAGTGATCGTTAGATTGCTTTGTATAAAATGGATTGACATTGCTGGACATTAATGTTACATTACTCAAAACCATTCTTTGTCTTGTGTTCTTAACCATCACCATGGAGACTGGGGACAGTCGTAACACTTTTCCTTTCCTCTCTGTTATTTCAAGCTTATTGGACATACACAAAACCATTCACATCTGTCTGCTAATCCAGGTAGCATTTAAATAAATATGATTACATATGATATATTTTTTACAAGATTTAATGAAAAAAAAAGTCAACTATTGCAGCTGACCTCATTCTGGGTACGGTTGTGACACATCTCAGGAAGAGTTACAACATGTCATGAATAGATAAAGTTTCACAAATCAACTTTTGTTTATTTTATTTTGTCTCAATGACTGTATTATTCTGAGAAGTTGTATTGTTTAAAAAACTTGAACAACTGAACTGTAACCCTGGGCTGTCCAAAAAGTGGACATGCACTGGCTTCCTAAAATGAAACAATGATATTTTGAAAATATCACTTTTACAAAACTTCCCAAATTAACACGGTAACATTACTTATATGTATATATAGATATTAACACCATACAACATGCAAGTCTAAAACACTAATAAAAATCTCATTAAAACAGACCTTTAGGAGCAGACATTTTAAATTTGTTCTTGTTCTTTTTTCTTATTTTTATAATGGACATCCAAATGACAACAATCTTTCAAAACCTCCCCCTCCCCCTTGGTTATAGTCACAGTTGTGGCATGTATAAAAATCAACACCAGCTACTGAATGCAAATATGACTTGCCCAGGCCTTGCACATTTAACACTGCAGCCACACTCCCATGGATTTTGAATAGCTAGCTGTCAGTTCTTACAAAACACTGTGTCAAAGCTGATACACATATTTCAGCACTTGCTAACCATGTGACTTTAAAATCGACAATGTTTAAATCAAACTCAGTTGTTGTTAATGCATACAAATGACAATAATAGCATCACAACAATGCATCAAATTAAAATAATTACTTCCTCACCTCAAAAACATGTTTTGTGGAATTAAGATGCTCTGGAATGTGTTTTCAAAATCAAATTATTGCTCCTACCTCATGTTCCTAGATCTTATCCCTTCCTTTGTTTCTATGTTGCTCAGACAAATGTGTCCACTGCTGCACCTACAGAATCAGTTTGAAGGAGAGTAAATAAAAAAAAAAGATTCTGCTGTAGACCCTTAACTGCTTAAGAAAAGTTCTGCAAAACCCAATAAATAGGTCATAAGCAAAGTACCAAATACTTAAAAAGGAAATACTTCAGTTAAAAATAAAAGAAAAATCTGTGATCTTTATTCTAAATAAATAAAACATTAAACCTAATACTTTCTTTTTAAATCATTGCTATTTTTGATTATTTTATTTTATGGCCAGCTGCTGAAGACATCAGAGATTCTTTTATCTCTGCTTTTTCACAGTTATTCTTGCTACAAGCAAGTTGGTCATAGTGATTTCAGTTTGTAAGGTGATCTGGAGCTGACTTTTTATTATACGATATTAAAAATAGATTTTAGGCTTGATTTCTCAAACTATTTGAAGAAAAAAGAGAGATTTTAATAATTAGTAATATATATATATATTTTTTTTTTTTTTTTTTTTTTTTTTTTACCAGCGAATATTGAAATTTTTAAATTGATTTCTGATGTTGATTAAGAGAATGAGATATGTAGTATTTTTTAATCAGATAGCGTTTATGGATAATGCAAAGTGCAAAAACTAGTGCCTAAAAGAAAAGTCTGGTGTGTAGCACATGTAAAAACCATCTGTTAAAGATTCACAGTTCATCAGAGTTAGTTTTAAGTGACTGCAGATCAAATATGTTAAGGTCTTATCTGCAGTTAAACACATTTTTCCTGTCTAGTGCTCTGATTCAAGAAAATATTAATCTCATTCTCATCCTTGGATCAGATTTATTATAACCCATAAAAGCAATATTTTCAATATATATGGGATGTCAAAGTTGAAAATGATCAGAAAATACTAAAATTAATCATGTTTAATTTATATCTATAGCTGAAATCTGCTGCAACCAGAAGTCCAAGGTATTGAACAGGTAAACAGTTCAACCAGTTCAAGGTTATTTAATTTCAATATACAATACAATAAAGTTTTTACTTAGAAAAAATATCAAAGGAGCATAGAAAGTGCTTAAATATGTTTTTCTATATAACTTTGGAAAACAAACTTTTTATCACTTCTGCAACTGACAAAGACAAGTAAAGATAAAATCAGAATTCCAAACATGAACTGATATTTTTTTTTCTTTCATTTTCTTAGCCACTATATTCAGAAAGTTCTCATGTTTCAGCAGCTTACCATAACATACTCAACTAAATTACAATAAACAGTAAGGGATCAGATAACCCAGAGCCCCTCCCACTCAACATATCCTGTATAAAATACCTGCTATTAGTTTACTTTCATTTTAGCTTCCAGCATTCAGGCCCCTGGTGTAGTTTTAATCTATGATTTTTTTATCAAACATGGCGATAACACTCCATCTTCTCCTGTTACTGGTAAGGACTAATCTTACTATTGGTTCTAGTCATAGGTCATCATATTTTTAACATTTTTAACCATAACTGTTATCTGATTAAACTGCAAAGACTTTACGCTTTTATTACTTTGTGAAAACCCATATTTGAAATTTCTAGATTAAAAAACATAATAATTAATATAAAAGGGTTGATTTCATCTGGTAGGTTGAGATTATCTTCTTAAGTGCAAGATAACATAATATGCCTATTTAACACCTTGCAGAGTCTTGGAGTGCAGTTATCCCCAGCAGACTTTTTGCAGCGGCAGAAGAGGAACTGGATTATACAAACTTTAACTATTGATGAAGGTTACAGTGGAATGTTTCCATATTATTTAGACCAAGTAAGTATTCAAGTATAAAGTTATAACTGAATAACATAACATAAAAACACAAAAGGAACTTTTATTTTATTCCAGATTGATATTGACCCAAGTTTAAATATTCTGGAAGTTACTGGTCAAGGGATTGACGAAGAACCTCGAGATTTACTAGAAATACATGAAAAGTCAGGACGAGTTTATGTCGTTGGTCCTGTGGATTATGAAAAATATCAGATTCTAAAGGTAGGAGGAAGAAAATACATTTAAAAATTGATATCTTCAAGGATTAGAGTTTTTTTTTTTTTCTAATAGTCCAACAGTGTTTCTTAATTAACCAATTCTTGTACTTCCCCCTCAGCTGTTAATTAAGGGAGCAGGTAAAAACAACCAGACAGTAGTTAGGGTGGGCATTAATGTTGAAATAACTGATGCAAATGACAACCCACCTATATTTGGCCAAACAACATATGAGACCACGATAATGGAGTCAGTGTTACAAGGTAAGGTTGTTATTTTCTATTTTTCCATTTCAGTTTTATGAACAAAATGCTCACAGTTATAAAAAAATATATATCTCTAACATCTGGCAGGTACTGGGTTGATAAATGTCACAGCAACAGACCTTGACATGACAGAGAAGAATAGAAATTTTAATTTTAGAATAGAATCTGTGACTCCCGAACCAGAGGACTTGGAGTTTTTTATAAATGAGGTGCCTTATTTTAATACTGGAACAATATCATTTAAAGGATGCCTGAACAGCAAGGTAAGAACGCCTATAATTTGGAAACGTGATGGCAAATTAAACTGGTTGGAAATTCAGTTGCTCTTATGATTTTGTTTTTTCTAAGGATTTAATTACACCAGGAAAGTCATTTGGTCTGCTTCAATTCACTTCATACAGTTTGCTTTAAAATTGTACTGTTTGCAACTGGACTGTACCTTGTGACAAACCCAAACATGATAAGTATTTCTCACATTGAATAAAAGTGATAAGGAGTACAAAGCAAGGAATTAAAATGAGTCATTTGTTTATGCCAGCGTTTCCTCTAAATTTAATGTTTTATTTTGTTTTAAAATATGCGGAATTATTTAATTATTCCTTATTGAGCTCAGCCAATCGACGTTGGGACCGCACCTCCTTAGTGCCCGATCATTTTTCTTTTGACCAATTTTTTGAACAACTTTTACAGTTTGTCTCAGTCATTGGAAAATTGACCTTTTCCCAGAATCACTTTCCCCAAAATGTTTTGCAGATAACATTGCAGATAAACTCTATAAAGTTGACTATCCTGGTGGGAAAAATTATTTTAGACCCCCCTGAAAGCAGCTTTCATATTTTGTGGCTTGTTGTTTATCCAAATTCATATCAAATTATGACCTTCATGCAAGCTATGCTCTCATTTAATTTAATTTGGCCCTGGATCTGCATTACACATGTTGTAAAAAACAAAAAATTGCATATCTATTAACCTTCACCTCCTTTATTGTGCCATTGGATTGCTTGGATTGTAAAGTTCGCAGTACACTGCTGATGAAAAAGCACTATCCATAAGTGACAAAAAGTGAACAATTCCGATATGTAATTACAACTATCCGTTGCAACAATGATGGTTAAAAAATATAGAAGAATAATAAACTTGTTTATTCGACATATGCAGCATGAATACTATAAAACGTGAATGCTGACCCAAGTTACAGCTAATTACTTTTACTCAACAAGCAAGACATGAACTACTGTGCATTACCTGGATGATCAGAGAAACAGAGAGAGAGACTTTTATCGGAGCTTAAGTTAAATTTACAAGCTCCAGCAGTGATAAAACTACAGTAGTAGGAATCCTCTATGGGAGCTTCTAGCTTAATTTAAATCAGGTTTTGAAAGAGATCTGGTGTTTATATTGAAAAACCAGAGCATTTAAGTGCCTAAAGATATAAAAAAAAATTTTTCTGATCCAATTATACGTACACGTTGACAAAAAAAAAAAAAAAGGTTTTGCTACATAAACTGGAAAACATAAAATCTACTGTTGGCAGTAAGACATAATAGAAGAAAGAAAAACACAAGCTTCCCTTTTCCATGTATCCTGGATAACCTTAAACATACAGCTTTGGTTTGTTTAAATAAAGTATTTAAAAGAATGGAACCCAATTGATCTTAAATATACTGTTTATTAGAAGCTCTCCTTTCTGAATGGTATTTATAGTATTATATAAATTAAACTAATTAAGTAGGAATACAATTTTATTGAGAAAATAACTATAATATTATTCCTGATAATTGGATAAAAGTAATTGTTTAATCTTTAAAAGCTGTTAGCTAATATGCTGTGTATATGTATGAAAAGTATTTGGTTTAATGAATAAATAGCCATTATAGCCTTTGACCAGTAAATACTTCATAATGATGTCAATCCTCTATAATTTAGTGGTGCCACCACTGAAACTGGGCCTATGGGTGCTATTTCAATGGTACTCTGTGTTTATTTTACATTTTCATGTAAGGTTGTTTAGGTTTTAATATTTGTCTTAAAACCGTCCTAGTGCATCCCTTAGTGGTACCATGGTCAATGGTTATTGCAGTCTAATTTTCCACCTACGGTGCGGTACAGGCCTTTGTCACCGGTACAGGTTTTCATCATCATAGCCCCACATTGTGGTACAGATAAAACTCATTCAGGCATATGCTTGCACAGAAAGCTATCTGGCACTGCGCTGCCTTGGCAGCGCCAGCGTCAGTGATCAAAATGATAAGACTCTTGCTCACTAGATTCCATGACATCTCCCTCAAACTGCAGTATGAACTGCGATGAAATCTCTATGACATCAACAGATTTTTCCATCCCGTAACTACCCCCCTCATAGCTTCGTGGCTAAGCTAACCACCCATCCACACTCTGAACTGTGCTCCTCAGGCTCCATTCGCACCAAAATATAGGAAGGCACTTTTCAATGTATTTGGAGTAGGGATATGTGTTACAATTTAAGACCCTAATCAATGCAATTGACACTAATGAAAACTTAGGAGGAAATTATTTTGTAATGTTTGACATACAGCTTGTCCTCTTTAAGCAAAGAAAAGTTTCCTGATTTCAAGCAACCTTGTATAAGAAATGTTGTTCCAAAAGGCTCATGTAATAATCTCTTTTTTAAAGTGATAAACTTATCTTTATAAAAGTCAGGCTATTTTAAAAAAAATATGATTTATATACCCCACAGAAAGCAGACAAATACACCCTTATAGTGACGGCAACTGACCATGGAAAACCTACGGCACTCTCCAGCTCTACCACCGTAACAATTAACATAGAACATGGAAACAGACATCATCCAGTGTTTACAAACAAAACTGTGAGCTTTTCTAAATTCAACTTTCCTATACAACTTTGAAAAAAATAAATTTGAACACATTTAACGTCACATCTTTAACATTTTTGCACGCCAGGGCAAAGTGAATGTAAAAGAAGGACTGCAAGGTGTTGTTTTCTCCCGCCTACAAGTCAAGGATGAAGATACCAGAGGTACGAGAGCCTGGAAGGCAAAGTATGAAATTCATGGAGACAAAAACAACAGCTTCAGAATCGTAACTGATCCCCAAACAAACGAAGGATTACTCTATGTGGATAAGGTACCATCTCTCTAAAGCAAAACATCACATTTTTTTCTATATGTTTCAAAGTTTAAAGAAAGTATAGTGTTTTGAAAAAAAGAAAAAAAAACTTTGTTAAGATCTTTTTTTTTTTTTTTACTTAAAATTATCACAATGCTTAGTTTGGGTTTTGTTTCGTGTTTTTATTTTGGATCATTCTCCTGTTAACCTTTTCTTTAGGTTTTCCCTGACCACATTTACTAACTTACCAGTCAAAATAAGTTCTACCCAAATCTTTGGGAAACTCTGAGGATAGTTTTCACTCCTGCTGTGATTATTACAATTAATTACAAACCCCTCTAGCGTGTGAGACCCACTACAGAAGCTGTGGAGTGACATTCTACACTTTTTTAATGGAGGGACACACCAAAAGCTCACCCTTGTCAAATAAGCTGAAATGAACAAACATGTGGAACATTTCACCTAAAACAGAGCTTAAAGAAGACTGTGTTCGCAAGGTAGTATGAATTCTTTTGAGAAGTAAAATATGGCTCACACCCCTTTCACTCTAAAGAGCAACTGACAACAGTTGTCAACAGAGCTCATCCAGTCAAGGAAAAACAAAGACATTAGATGTCTCTGCCGAGGGGATAGACTGGTAACTGGACTAGAAATACCCTGCTTTTAACATAACAGCAAAATAAGCTGTATTGTTAAATTGAACTACCCTGCCTGTACAGCAGAAAGCCTGAAACCTCCATGTCCGCTTTAACTAGAGCTGTAGTAAATAACTCCATACCTTTAATTTTAAGAGCTAAGTATTTAACATTAAATTCCATTTTGTTTCCCCTTCTTTTCAGGAAACTTGAATTTTATTTAATTGTTTCCCCCTTTTGTACAAATTATCATTTTTATTTATTGAAGCTGTTTCATTGCCTTTTTGTTGTGGCACAACAGGCTATTTTTGGACTTTGCAGATGCAATTGGAACCAAAAGTATAAACCACGTAACACTTTTAGTCTAAATAAGCTGCACACTTTTATATTTAATTACTTTAAGTAACACTAGGTTATGTATACAAAAGGTAGACTGTAAACAGTACTGCTAGAGTTGCAATGAGTTTACAGTAGGTGTGTGAAAAATCTGATCGTCAGACTTTTGCAGGAATTTGTATTATCGCCAAAATTAGAGGACCCTAAAGTGTATTTTAGTTAGGGACATTGCTGTCTAGAAATATTACTGTGAGATGTTAGATTTCCGCCCCAGTTTTTTTTTTTTTTTTTTTGTACCTCAGTTAATCCCCATCTGTGCTAATCAGTAACCTTCCCTATATTTACTGCTGATCTTTATTCTGCTGCCTGAACTCAGAAGGTTTCTATGTTGTCAAACACATCTCCTCAATATGCTCTTTATATATGTTTGAGTTGCTTTTTTGTCAATTTTTTTAAAATTTTTAAAAAGATTTTTTTAAACTTTGTGATTTAAATGTATTGATGTGATAGAATTATATTTTTAGAGGCAGATACATAATGTTTTGGGGATGTAGCTCAGTGGTAGAGAGCATGCTTCGCATGTATGAGGTCCTGGGTTCAATCTCCACTCAATATTATCACT